GGCCCCTCACCCCACACTGTGGTTAACATGAGTAAAGGGAACGGGGGTCCTTTTACTCCCACCTGGGGGAGGAGCGCAGCACAAGAATGGCTGCAAAATCGAGAGGTCTCCTCCTCCGGCCTCCACCCCTCCGACCTGCCTCCCATCCTACCCCAGCTGGGTGCTCCCACTTTGCCCTGCACAGCCCCCGCCCCCAGGTCAGCTTTCTGTAGCCAGGCGCTGCACTGCCAGAGGTTTTTGCCACCAAGTTTCTGTCGGCAGCAGCCACCATCCCGTGCTGCCTGACAACCTGGCCCTTACGCCTGGGCCGACTCCCCCAGGTGTGGTGCAGTTCAGGCAATGAATTTTCAATGAGTTCATGTTTGTCTCTGCCCTGTCCTAACCAGCCAGTGACTGTCAATCTAGACTGCCTGTTAAGGGTTGTCTTGGCTTAAAAAAAAAAAAAAAGCCACCTGATGATCTGTGGTTGTTGTAGTCCATCAGAGGCAACAAGATTTTTTTTAAAGCTTCCCAGGTAAATTATTATTTTATCTTGATAAAGTCTTATTTTATCAAGATTATAAACTATTAGCCGGTCATGGTGTCACATGCCTGTAATCCCAGCATTCAGGTGCTGGGGAGATAGATCGGCAGTCTACACATCTGCCTGGCAAGCACAAGGACCTGGGTTCAATTGCCGGTACTGTATGCTGTGCTGGCCCCCCACCATGCATGCCACTGAAACCAGGCATGGTGCCGCACACCTGTAACCCCAGTGCTGGGGAGGCTGAGACAGGAGGATCACTATGAGTCGGAGAGAGACCCTGCACCAGATAAATAAGTAAATAATCAATTAATTAATTTTTTTTTAAAAATCCAAGCCCTCAGTAGGCTGAAGCTGGAGGATCATTACAAGCTCAAGACCAGCCTGAGCTATTGGGCCTGGGAGATAGCTCAGTTTCATAAGAACCTGCCTGGCAAGGGGCTGGTGAGATGGCTCAGTGGTCTAAAGTACCTACTTAGAACAAGCTAAGCTAAGCAAAGCACAGGGACCACGGTTCATTCCCCCAGCACCACATGCCAGCCAGCCCTGCCCCCTGGTGGGCTGAGCTGGCCACACACACACACACACACACACACACACACTAGATAAATAAATAAATTTAAAAAAAAAGAACCTGCCTGGCAAAGGCAAGGTCCTGATTTCAATCCTTGGTACCACCAGAAAAAAACAAGCCTGGGCTACAAGTGAAGTCAAGACCATCCTGAATTGCGTAGGGAGACCTTGTCTCATAAGACAAAAGAAAAAAAGAAGAGGAAGAAGATTGTAAACTACTGTCCAGCACAGCACCTCAGAACCTCACCCGAGTGCCTTGTCGTGGGACTGGGGAGGGTCTGAGCCTTTACATTTCTAAATTTTTTTTTTATTTATGTGTGTGTGTGTGTGTGTGTGACCAGCTCAGCCCACCAGGGGGCGGGGCTGGCTGGTGGTGCTGGGGATTGAACCGCCGTCCCTGGGCTTTGCTAAGCTTATTCTAAGTAGGTGCTTTAGACCACTGAGCCGTCTCACCAGCCCTGCCTTTACATTTCTAATAGCTGCCTAAAGATGGTCCCCACGGGACCACTGAGTAGGAAACCTGTGCGATTTAATGAGGGAGGCCGTTTACTATAGGATTCTCTCATATGCTCTTCCACATCTTAACTCTTTAAATTTTTCTACCTTTCAAGATCTCCTAGCCTGGTGTGGTGATGTACACTTACAGTTCTGGCACTCAGGAGGCTGAGGCAGGAGGATTGCCATGAGTTCTAGGCCCACCTGAGCTACTACATAGTGAGTTCAAGGACAGCCTGAACTGCACAGTGAGGCCCTGATCTCAAAAGAATAACAAAAACAAAACAAAACTTCCTGCCAGTAACAGTGACCCCGCTTTCACCAAAGCTGATGCATTCTTGTGCTTCGGACTCCAGTCCACCGTGTGGAGCCCGGGGCATTTCACACTGAGCCACGTCTGCAGTCCCTTTCATTTTTTACTCTGAGGCAGGATCGTCACAAGTCACTGAGTTGTTCAGGTGGGACTTGAAGTTGCAACCCTCCTGTGCCAGCCTCCAGCGTGCTGGGATCCCGCCCCGTGTGTGTGCTCCCTTCACCGGTCTGCATTCTCCTTTTCCACATTCCTCCTAGACTTGCCACCTGCGTGTTCTGTTGCCAGTGGGCTGTGAGTTAGTTTTGTCTGCTACTGTTTGAATTCGTTTAGGTTCTGGGGATCCCAAGGCCAAGGCCAACGCTGAGGTGGGGCATTGCTTCAAGCTTGAGGCCCGCCTAGAATACATAGTGAGTTCAGGGGCAGCCCGACTGATACAGCAAGACCCTGCCTCAAAAAGGAGTGGGGTGAGGGGCCGGGGAGATAGCTCAGTGGAATAAGCGCTTGCCTGGCAAGTACAAGGGCCTGAGTTCAATCCCCGGTTCCTGAAAAAAAAAAAAAAAAAAGGAGTGGGGTATGCTTAATTCAGAGGTACAGCACCCTGAATGTGATCCCTTGCACTGCCAAAAAGAGTCCTTTCTTGACTTTAACACTTTTTTTTTTTCCAGAACTGGGGATTGAACTCAGGACCTTGCGCCTGCCAGACAAGCACTTATTCTACTGAGCTGTCTCCTGGCCCTAAAATTTTTATTAATGTTGGTGACTCCTGTCTCCTTCCTGTGCCACCTGTTTAAATTTAAATGTGACCCCTTAATCTCACAGCTCACCTTGTTATTTCTTTTCTGGATGGTAGCACATGTGGTAGGCATACATGGCTCCACCAGTGGGGCCATAGGCCTCCAGCCCCTTTGATGATGGCAGTCAAATGTGCAAAAGATAGAATTTCCCATTTTATTCCCAAAGATAGAATTGGCATTTCAGGGGCATTTAGTACACTCATCTTGGGCGACCGTCTCCACGTCCGGATCCACAATGCTTTTGTGGTCTCCAGCTGCAAATGTACCCATTTAAAACCGACTCCTCCTGCTCCCCCTTCCCAGAGGCTGATAACCTTTCCTCCGCTTCCTGTCTCTGAGGTTGGCTATTGGGCACGTCTCCTTCGGTGGAGTCGGGCCTCGCACAGTGTCGTTCAGGTTCATTCCTGTCGCAGCCTGTGGCACAGCTCCCTCTCTGGCTAAGGCTGAGTAACAGCTCCTGGCATGACACGGGTGACTTCCGGTTTTCCGGAATAGAATAATGCTACCGTGAGCATGAGTGTGCGAAGATCTACTCCAGACACTCAGTTCTCTGTGTTCGGTTCTGTTGGGTCTGGACTCAGCGGGAGGATCGCGGGACCGCGTGGCAGTTCGCGGTTTAATTTTTGCGGAGCTGCCCGCTCCACCGCCTTCCCCAGCAGCTGCACCATCTCACAGGCCCGCCCACCACGCTCAAGGCTTCCCACCTTTCCACATCCACATCAGCTGTGTGGGTTTCACTGTCACCGTGTCAAGGGGCAGGAAAAGGCCCTGCTCTTTCTTGTGCACCGTCAGCCCCTCTTCCACAACGGCCACTTTAAACTCAGGTCAGCAGCCAAGCCCCTCCCACCTTCCTGCTGTCCCCCTGGGTGGTCCACCACGCCCACCCACCAGCGTTTTCGTCTGTTCCCCGCGTCTGAACTACGCTCACATTTTCTCTCACTTACATTACTGTCCTCTCCCTGTCCTGTCATTCTGAGTCAGCTTTCCGTGGCCCACCAGAGAGAGAGGAAACCGGCCAGCGGCGGCCGCCTCCCACTGGCCTGGCACGGGACCAAGTGGCCTGTGCGCCAGGCTCGGTGCTGTCCGGCAGATAACAGGCAGGCTCTGAGGGCAATGCTGAGGTCACAGCCAGTAAGCGGCGCAGCAGGGTTCCCAGCAGTTCACCCGCGGTCACTGAATGCTCTGCGCAAACCTAGCCTGAAGCATGCGCCTTAGGGGACCACCCGCTCAGGCTTCCTTCCTGTCCCTCTCTTGGACAGCTTTCTTTCCCTCAAGAAATATGTTCTGCTCATTAAAAAAAAAAAAAAAAAAAAAAAAAAGCATGTGCTTTAGCAGAGGAAAGCACCCAGGGAGTGGCTTGCCTGAGGGAGACCCAGGGGCTGGGCCAGGGGTCTGGACCTGGCTCTCTGACCCTGACATCCATCCCAGGCCAACCCCCATCTCTCCCTAATCCTGGGCCGGCCTTGCTTCCCCCCCCCCCCTTCACACCTTGCCCCAGATTAAATGTTTTGGGTTTTTGGGGGTTTTTTTTGTATTTTAGGGAAGGGACTAGAGGGTGTTCAGGGTCTCACTACTAGATCGGACTCGTAGTGATCTGCCTGTTTATGCCTCCCAAGAGCTGGGATTACAGGCCGGTCCACTCATTGACATTTTAGCCAGCCTTCCTGCCCCAAATCAGTGGCCACTTTCTCCGTGAAACCCGTAGTTCCGCCCACCGGAACGAACCCTGTGCCCATCTCAGCTCCTGCAGCCCTGACTTCACAGCTCTCTAGTGGCATACAGAACGCAGCCCTCCCCCAGCTGAGCCTGAAGGAACAGAACCTGTCTGCCTACAGGGAGAGCGAGCCTGCAAGGTCCGCTAGCTGCAATTTAGAAGGTGTGAGGCCCAGGATAGAGCTCAGCAGCACAGCGCCTGCCTGGCGAGCACAAGGTCCTGAGTTAGATTCCCAGTACCTAACAAATTAAATAAAAAATAAAAAGTGTGGGAGCCAGGGTGCTGCTGGGGGGTCGGCGGTAGCGCTTGTCTAGCATGTGCAAGCCTCGGGTTCCACCCCCAGCAGTAGGGGAAAGAAACAAGTAAGACCCAGGGGCCAGCCAAAAGGAGCTCGGGCACCAAGCGTTCCACAGTGTTTCCACTGCACTGATTCCGGTTTGTTTGTCCACCTCCCTGGCTCCCAGGGCCCTGAGTGGGAGGAGAGGCTTCCCAGGCCAGCTCACTTCCAGCCTGAACTTTGAAAGCTGCACTAGCAACCAAGTTAAACAGCCACCTTGCTTGTGGCTTGGGAGTGTGGGTTTAGGGGTGGAGAGCCTCTTTGCCATTTGATTCAGCACAGCCTGTTGAAGGTTTAGCGAGGGCGGAGAGCGCTTAGTAATTACCAAGGCCAACCAGCCCCACCTGGCCAGTGTCCTCCTGAACCTGCTCTTCCCTGTAGCGCAGTAACCTGCGCTCTGGCTTGAGTTCCAGAGGAGGCAGAAGTGTCTTCCTAGAGGCAGGTAAGTGTTGGTCTTGTCTGCGTGTCAAACTCAGAGTTGGTAGAAAGACTCCTAGCCGATAAATACTCTGGCAGCTCCTGTTTTCTTCAGTTACCCAGAGCCAGAAGGGAGGACATGGCTGCTGCCTGGCTCCCAGCCATGTCAGGCAAGCTCTAGGCCCTGAGGGAGATAATGTCCCTGCCACTGAATCCAGAAAATGCTGCAGGCTGTTAGCATGAGGACCACCCCAGGAGCGCTATCTTGCTCTGCTAGCCCTGGGTGATGTAGCTCAGGGCATGGGCTTCCTCCCTCAGACCCCTGGCTCAGGTCTCATAATGTAAAGAAACAGGATACTGGGCTGGCCAGACAGCTCAGCAGACTAAGCACCTGCTTAGACAAGCATAGGGATAGGGGTTCAATGCCCCAGGCACACTGACCTGGCCACTGAGACTGGACGTGGGATGTGTAAACCTCAGCATTGGGGAGGCTGAAAACAGGAGGATCACTACAAGTCTGATCTGTGTAGTGAGACCCTGTACTAGATACATAAAAATAAATAAGTAAATAGAAACTGAATAGTCTTAGCTGTCCTATGCTAGGACTGTCAAATCCCAAGTGACCATTGCCCTCGTGGGTCACCGACGGAGCACTATCTGTTGGCTACCTCTGTGCACTGGAGCCTTGAGATACAGCGCTAAGACCATCTTGGCTGTCCAGTAGCTTCTCACGTAGACGGGACATGGGTTACTGCAAGGCCACACCATGGTCTGTGTGGTCAGAAGGCAGCAGGTCCATGGCTGAGCACTTCAGAGAGCCACACAGGACCGAGTGACATCCGTGTGGAAGCCCGGAGAACAACCCGGAATGCACCAAAGGTCGATGGGCAAAGGGACAGACAGCATGTGCAGGACTTAAGTATGCGACTGTGTGGTGGCTCTGGGTGTTGGGGCAGGGAGGGAATGGAACCCAGCCTTAGAGCCTGGCAGGGCAGCGCGGTATCCGCCCACTCCCTTGCTATCCTGGAGGGAGAGGAGAGCCAGGCAGGTGAGCAGCGACACCTGAGGCTGGGCCCAAGATTTGCAGCACTGACTCATTTTCCAGACTTATCACAGACCAGCCAGAGCCCCAGGCCCTTAAGAGGCAGTGCCACAGGAGGAGCACAGTGACCGCCGAGCAGGGAGGACCCTGGGCAGTGACACACAGAGCAGAAGGCATGGCATGCAGGGCTCACCCAGGGGGCTCCCAGTGAGCCAGGATGTGTGGAGAGAGAGCCTGAGGAGTCACAGAGGTCAAGGGCAAGGGACCTCTTAAGACGAGGGCCAAGGCCCTACACTGCCCCAGCAGGGGTTGGAGAGCTGCTGGCCTGCCTTGGCCCCTGCACTCACCAACTGGGGCTGCTTCTCTAGGTAGCGCGCCTCGCTCCAGACATGCTTCGGAGACTTTGTATGGCGGGAGTCACTGCGCCTGCCCGTGTGGCACAGGTACCCATAAGCAGGACTCCGAACCTGCAGGCAGAGTGAGAAAACACTGGATGCTTTGAGAAGGAGGGAGCAGGAGGCCGAGTGCAGTCTAAGCACCAGGCTTCTGGAAGAATGGTCCGGGAAGAAGGCTGAGAGGCTGAGAGGCTCAGGGGTCAGGTGGGTGGGAAGGGCTGGAGGAGGCAGAGCAGCAGGAGGCTACTGGGCCTGCTGGCAGCCTGAGGGGACCAGGTGGGCTCTGGAGCTGGGACCTGGCCAGGAGAGGCAGAACCAGAGGAGAGTCCAGAATGGAGGCTCCCTGCAGAGAAAGAGCTGCCCAGGCCTCCTGCCCACCCCTGCCACGCTCACCTGTGAAGCTTTTATTTGATGTTTAATTTGTAGTGCCAGGGAGGGGACCTCCTAGGCAAGCCTGCTGCCCAAAGCAGCAGCCAAGCGCTGCGTCATGGTAGAAGCCCATTCCTGTCAGTGCTGGAACCCTTGGATTGCAGCTCTCTGGGGAGACTGATCTTGTGTTAGTCCCCAGCCATGTCCCTGCTGCCTAGACTGCACTTGGCACTTCGCAGGCACTCGACAGCTAGTTTACGGAATGGCCATCACTCAGGCCTACAGATTGCTGGACAGGGATGGCCACGTTGGACCCTGTGGCCACATGAGAGATGACCCTGGAATCATGGCTCCTTCTAAAGTGCAGTGGAGGGGCAGGGGAGATAACTCAGTGGAATAAGTGCTTGCCAGGCACCCTGGTAGCACCCAAAAAAAAAAAAAAGTGCTTTGGAAGCCTGGCATGGTGGCGTGCGCCTGTAACGCCAGCACTTACCGGGCTGGGGGCAAAGGCCTTAAGTTCAATCCTCAGTATGACAAAACAAAACAAGCCAAAAAACCAATCAAAATCAGACCAAGCTGGGCGTAGTGGCACATGCCTGTGATGTCAGCTACTCGGGCGACTGCAGTAAAAAGATCCTGAATTCCAGGCCAGCGTGGGGTACATAGACCCGGTAACCAAGCCACACAGAAGCCGGGGCTGGTGATCACTTTCTCCTCGCTGTCACTGATGCATTCACTGGTGCCACAGACATTGTCAGCTCTTAGCCTCTGTACACCTGCAGCTGCTAGCAGCAGCTTCCAGCACCCAGATTCCCCATGGCATGCTTAAACTCAGGGGCATGCCCACCGCCACACACAGGTGCTCCTGAGCGTTGGCGGTGCTGTGGAGGGCCTGCGGTGGGATGGCCCTGAGTTCATAGATTTCTCTTCAACCTCCCTATGCCGGTAGCCAGGAAACCACAGGTCCTAGTGTAGAAAACTTTCCCTGAAGATAAACAGAGGGAGCTGAGCGTGCTGGCGTAGGCCTGCAATCCCAGCACTCAGGAGGCTGAGGTGCGGGCACTGCCAAGAGTTTGAGGCCAGCCTGGGCTACACAGTGAGTTTGGGGCCCAACCCAACTCCATGGAGAGACCCTGCCTCAAGAATGAATATATAGGGCCGGGGAGATGGCTCAGTGGAATAAGCACTTCCCTGGCAAGCACAAGGGCCTGAGTTCAATCCCCGGTTCTGGAAAAAAAAAAAA